AACATCCTACATTATTTTTACAGTCTTTATTTTACAGTTAAAATATATGTTTATTAAATAAAGTCTAATGTTACAACTAATCGGGGATCCCTTTTAAAGAAGAGAACTGGTGAGGGGTAAAGGAGCCACTCTGATGTGATGTTTTTGCAAACTGTAGTCCTAACTTCACTACATTACACAGATCTTTTGAAGCCTCCAACTCTAGAACACAAACTACTTCCAATCCAAAATYTATTATTGCAWCAATAAAACCATCCTTTTTTCAATGAGGTCTCTGTTAACTGTACTGGTGCTGGTCAGACGGTTAATCYTAGCCAGTTTCATGTCCACAGGAGTGTTGTGTGATTGGTGGGATGTTAGGTTAAGCCAGGGCAAAATGAGGTCAAGAGATCAAAGACTACAGGATTTATTGTTGACCTTTTGATCTGAGACAAAGATCAAAGAATTTGCACCTCTTAATCACTGTTTTTTTTTTCCTCCTCCTTTCAGTTTTCAAAATCTCTCTTGAGTTCGGGCACATTTATCGTGATCTAAACAATAATTCCACCTAATTAGAAAACAAGTGGATGTGAACGTTTCAGTGGTAAAAGTTGTAACTAAGTGTTACCAGATCCACCCGAGCTGTTAACACAAACTTTCTCATTCATTGATTTGAGTGGGGTAATGGTGTTCTGGCTCTGGGCAGAGAATTAAAACGTTCACAGTTCATCTCGTGAAGTTTTTAAAGCGCTCACGCTGAGGCTCCTCATTCTTTACTGCGATTAGCCTCTGCTTGATTTGTACCTGTGCAGAGCATACGTCTCCAGACATGTTTATGCTAACCTAACAATGACGTCATTTTATTTGAAATTGAATTATTCCGTTGCTGTGAATTTAARGTTTCAATTTTTGTTTTCAGGTCCTGGGATCAACACTCCTGATTCTCTTTCAGAATCCACTGAGATGGAGTATTTGAGGAAGGTGCTGTTTGAGTATATGATGGGACGAGAAACTAAAGTAAGCTTTTCTGTCTTATACGATGTGAATAATTGCACATGAAAATAACACATTTAGATTTTTGCAGAGTTGTAAAGTAACTAAGTACAAATACTTCTTTACTGTACTTAAGTAGAATTTTTGGGTATCTGTACTTTACTTGCGTAATGACTTTTTACTTCTACTTCTTACATTTTCACACAATTATCTGTACTTTCTACTCCTTACATTTTTAAAAAGGCAAGAAGTAGAAAGTCGTTACTTTTTTCATATTTGCTTGTTTTCTTTCCAGCTTGTTATTGTAAAAAATAAATACTTTCCATATAAACTGTGCCTCTTAGAGTGAATTTAATTGTGTTTGAATGAGAAGTATAAATATATAAAACTCTGATACCGAATTAGTTTGTACACAAACAAATCATGTCACACTCCAGCAGGACATAATCATTAAAATAAAAGGACTGTACTTAAGAAGTATTTGTATTTCATGAATTATGTTATTGTATTTGGCTGCAGCCCAGATATATTTCATTTGGGGAAAAGTTTTGTGCAGCCTTGATATATGTATATAAACTGAAACAGCTGGACTAGTGCATCCTAAATTTAACATAAATTAATTATTTTAATACAACAGTCATTTCTGCATATTTTTGGAGGGAGGTCACCTAATAAATGTCCTTACAGAAAATCTAACTGCTCATTTTAAATCAATACTTTTACTTTTAATACTTAAGTACAAAAAATATCAGATACTTAAAGAATTTTACTCAAGTAATATTCCTAAAGGAGACTTTAATGTTTACCAAAGTAAATTTTTGGTAAGAACCTTTTACTGAAGTATCACTTTGTGGTACTTTATACAACACTGGATTCTTGTAATCTGGTTGAATGTGACAGCAGTAGCAGGGATCCTCTGATAGATTTTAAATACCTTCATCCATCTACTAAAACAAATGATACGGAACCATCAAACAGGAAGAGCAGCAGATATTAAAGAGTGAGTCTGTTTGTGTCTTTTTGACGCAGATGACTTCTGTCTTCTTCACAAACTAAGACGGTTAATGACGCCACGTCAAAATCATGTGTTCAGGTTTGGGTTCGGTAATTAACCGTGATCTTCCTAATGAACTGAGCTGTTGTTGAGGGTCCTAAAGTCAGCAGGATTTCCCCTRCGTTCCTCAGCAAACAGGCAGTTTTTTTTTATAGCAGCACTGCAGACCTCCCGCCTTCTGTGAGGAGGATGTCCTCCAGGCTGCCTGCGAACACATGCATCCTGCATGACACAGATTTGCCGTTGGAAGCCACGCTGACCTTGTTTCGAGTTAGTCAAGTGGTTAACTTTCCTACACAGCAGCTCTGTTTCTGATTATCCCCTGAGTTTATGGGGAAATGTATGCTCGGTGGCAGATGGGCCTGGAGTTSATTATGGAGATAATTTTCATCCCTTTTTTTTTTCTTTTGTCTCGTTAGGCTTTAATTGTCTCAGAGAAACTCTAATTTGATTTTGTGATGTGTCAAAGGTAGCAGTTACCAAATACGGTGTTTAGGAAGAAAAACTTTAGGGTTTTTTTTAGTTTAGTTTWTTTTATTCATTCATTTTTATATAAAAAAGCAACAAATTCTATATAAACATAAATTCTGTATGCAATAAAACTACAAATCATAAATGAAAGGTAGCAGAAGAAGAAAAAATCTAATATCTGCCCCTTTTCTCGAAAAAATACATTTAAACAAAATGGTCTTCAAATAACAAAAACAAAAAAGAAAATAAAGGTTAACTCCCAGAACAACAGCTCGTATAAATACACATTATACCATTACATATTTCTCCAYCAGGCTAAGCTGTATCATTCTCTTCATTAAACTTTATTCTTGTTTTTTTTTCTCTGCAGACAATGGCCAAAGTCATTACATCTATGCTCAAGTTTCCTCCAGACCAAGCGCAAAAAGTTTTGGACAAAGAAGACTCTAAACCTGTTGTAAGCATCTATGACAGGGTTAATTTTTAAAGCTGACATCTTAATTATTCTATTAAAACGAATCCTTTTTGCCTCCTCAGCCTTGGTTACGATGAGTGTTTGATGTGGATACTTCTTGATGAAGATCTGCTGCTGCTGAAGGAGAAGACTGCCATGAACAATATCAAGCTCTTCTCTGTGTCTTGTATCGTTGTGTGTGTGTGTGTGTGTGTGTGTGTGTGTGTGTGTGTGTGTGTGTGTGTGTGTGTGTGTGTGTGTGTGTGTGTGTGAGCACAATCTAGAGCGCAAGTGTGTGTGTGAGGATGGTATGAGGGAATTAGAGATTCGAACAGAAACACAAATCTTCCATCTTCTTCCTTTACTTTAAAGTTAAGTTTAATTTATATTTTAGATGAGGATAAATGGTTTTCTTGTTAGGCTGTGTTCAGACAGACTGGCTTGTGCAATAAATGATATCATATACTGATGCTGATGCTCAGTGGGTTTCTGTGTGTGTGTGTGTGTCTGTGTGTGTGTTGTGGTTTTGTCTAAATCGCTTCCTCTGTAAAAGTGTAAATGACCCTTTAACTGTGCACTCATCAGATTATGATTCTGGCCTCTGGACCTCGTTTGTTCAACACGACTTTTCTACGCTTTGTATTTTGAAACTTGACTGAAAAAGTCAAAACAAAAAAACTGTAAATTGTATTATAAGAATAAAATGTAATGTAGGGCATTTTACTGATTTACTTTGGATTTRCAGACTAATTAAATACGAGATTAAAAATTATTTACACATCACTTTTTGTCACTTTCTCTTTGTCGCCTTGCAGTTTTGTAATATCCAACAACTTGTCCATTTAASGGTTTAGGTGGTACTAAACGTGTAATAACACGGTAACAAACACTTGGAACAAAAGGTTATATTTCAGTAACTAAAATGTTTTTATTTRATTTAGCACCGGACAYCTATGAAGTACATTAAAACGTGCATGAACAAAATAATGTGGTTATCCATCTTTTGGTATTAATACTTAGCAAAAAAAGGAAGTTTGTGTTTTGTAGGTTATTTCTTTGTTGTCACAACCCTTCTTGGCAATAAATATTTTATGGGCTCCTGATTGGCAGCACCTGGGTGTGTCAGGAGCTGAAAACAAGTTTCAAAATGAGCTATTTTGGCTTTTTTTATGTCTGTGCAACCTAGCTCCACTGCTCGTCCCAGACATGCATGTTCCTTACAAATGTGGCACCATTTAAAGTGGAATTTAACAGGTTTTCCAATGAGATTTGTTTCCAAGAAGCATTGTTGCAACAAGATAAAAATAACTCAATTTCAAATTTCCCTACTTTTTGTTCTAAGTTGTTTGGATGAATCTGATTTTAGAGAAACTTTTTTTTAAAGAAGCTTTGTGTGTTACTGGCTCGCTGTGAGCAGAGGAACCTTTAGGTGGCAGCAGCGCGCCCTCATCTTTCCCAACTAGTGGGTTGAGCCCCAATAAAGCCCACAGATGAAATGTGATGCTTTGCGCCTCAGAAATCCCACTCGAGTCTCTCCGTGTCCGTGGGRCACAACGAAAAGGACCTCTCACCGGTTTGAGCCTTCGCATTAAAACCCCGACTTTTCACCTCCGCAGCCGCYCTGCCAGACACTAAAGCTTTTATTTTAAGCAAAGCAGCTTTTATTTCCAYGAGATATTTTGTGGACTTGACTTGCCTTATTATTTTTTTTAAACTCAGCGACACACCGAGGCTGGACGCAACAACTTCCCCAGACTGACACAGAATGGAGAGAAGCTGACGCACGTTTATTTACTGGACCGTTACTTTCTCGCTTCTTCTCAGACTAAATGGAGAGCTGAACGAGGAAGAAGCARCTAAGAGACAGTTGGTAAAAGTTTGACCCCTCGGGAGCTGACAAATCCCACTTCTTGTGTTTTTTTTTTAACTACTTTTGGACACTTCGGGCGCGTTATTACGCACGATGCGCAAAGGGATGGCTCCGCTGCTCAGACGCAAAACAGGAATACAGCAAGTTTTTTACATCTATCTCTCCTTTTCACTGGCTTACTCTTACAATATAGACTTGGAACACCCTTTGGTGTTCCGCGGACCTAATTCCAGTTTTTTTGGCTACTCTGTTTTGGAGCATTTTCATGACAACACGCGCTGGTGAGTGTCGCGTTTATAGTTCGTGGAACTTGTTTTCTCCTCTCCTCAGCTTTTTTAACTCTCTTAAATATTATTTAATTTGCTTCCACAGCCTAAAATATTGAAGTGTGAAATCGTTGCACCTTCAAAACATAGTTTAAAAATCCTTTTTTTGGTAAAGCCAAGAGTTTATTAAAAGTTTTCATGTACATTTACGTTCCACCCTCCTCCTCGTCATGTCTGCAGGATCATAGTGGGAGCACCCAAGGCAAACTCTTCCTACAGCAGCTCGGTGCGCTCCCCCGGAGCCGTGTTCAAGTGTCGGGTTCACAGCAACCCGGAGCGGCGCTGCACAGAGATGGATCTGGGCAGAGGTCAGTCACCACAAGCCGCAGCCTGCACACAAACACACACACACACACACACACACACACACACTGCAGTATCTGTGCAACGCTCACTACAGGAAAAGCTGCCTCTCTGTTGCTCCTTCTCTTGTCCACTCTTTGCATAAACTCTCCCCCCTCCTCAGGCATCTGTTTTGTTTTATCAGAATAATGCGGCCTTATTCTGCTCTTAGCTTCAGCTCTGAACTGAGACAAGCAGAAGACAAGAGGGGTTCTGTGTGCATGGGGTTCAGAAGTATTTTTATTTACTATGATTTATGCTTCCACTAATATTTTCCAAGCATGTGAGCCCCCCKAAAAAAATCAACCTCTTGAACTTTTAAGGCACCCCACCGTCATGTCTCTGTTGTTGTGGCCAAGAAAGGCCAGGGTGCAAGCTTTAATATTAACTTTGTTGAGTCAATGTGTAACTAACATGAAGCGGAGCAAACCAACATAAATATCTGAGCTACATTTAGCTCTCGGGAACAAATAAATAAATAATATATGCCACATTAACATTTGATTCACAGTTAATCACAATTATTCATGAACACTTCTGCTTTTCTTTTATATACAAGCTTTCTGCACATTTCACCTACTGTCTATCTATACATGTATGTAGAAGCGTTAAGTAAGCTTTTAAACTTACCAACTAATCCTACCGAAATGTTTGTGTTGCATCCAGGGGCGGCCATAGAGTGTTTTCTAACGGGGGGGCCGATGGGGAGCCCTTGTAAAATTTGGGGTGGATCGCTAAAACTAAAAGCTGTAATGTAGTTTCAGGAGTTTTATTAAATTGTTGTCATGTCAGCTGTTTAAACCAGAGGTGGGATCAAGTCAAGTGGTGCGACACGACGGCTCAGTGGTTAGCATCAACGCCTCACAGCAAGAAAGTCCTGGGTTCCATCCCTGGTTRGGACCTGGGGTCTTTCTGTGCAGAGTTTGCATGTTCTCCTCCAGCTTGTGTGGGTTTTCTCCGGGTARTCCGGTTTCCCCCACAACACAAAAATATGTARAAAAGGTTGTCTTCAGGCCCTTGAAAAAGAGATCCGCGATCTCAATGGGATTTGCCTGCTTAAACAACGGAAAATAGATAAGTTTTTATTTTTGCAAGTCTTTATCCTCAAGTCCAAAGTCAAATCTAAAGCAAAGACAGGAACTTGTCAAGTCCCAAGTCTGAAACTTGGAATTTCAAGTATTTTCAAGTCTTTTTTTAAACAATGTTGCAGAAAAWTCTGTATTTTTCTCCAATTGTGATGAACCCTGTGCAGCTAAACTTACAAAGTATTTTGAAAAAATTACACCCTTTATATTGAACAGTTCAAATAAACTTAGCAGTAGAAATAGRCTTCCTTTAAACTGAAATTTCCCTTTTTTTTTAAAATCGGGTTAATTTGATTTGCTGTGCTGCAGCTCATGCACACATATGTACAGAGTAAAACAAAAGACAGATGGTTTGTTAATATGAAATGAGTGAAATTGATTTTGGAGGCCGACTATAAACAATGTGTTTTAAACTTCAGATTTTGGGTAAAATATCTTGTCTTTTCAAGTAAACAGGGTCAAGTTCAGTTCAAGTCCCAAGTAATTGGTGTAAAAGTCCAAGACAAGTCACAAGTCTCTGAACATTTTTCCAGTCAAGGCTAAAGTCATAATATTAACGACTCAAGTCCTCACATCTGGTTTAAACACAAGTTGAAGAGTGTCTAATGTCAGCCTGTTTTTTTTTATGTCACAACCTAATAATGGAGGTGTCACTTTAATAAAAGACCGAAAGGAATTAACAATCCACTTAGGAGTTCACTGATCCCCATCACAGAGTATTTTAATATCTGTTTTAAAATGAAAAATACTTAAAACCATTTAAATAGGAATAAAAGATCCAGCAGGGTCCCATTGCTTCTACTCCTGTGTCCCAAACTCCCTTTGAACTTTAGTCTTTTATAAAATGTTTTTATTGGTGCTAAAGGAATCCAAAACAAGTATGCAGATTATCTAAATACATGTAGATTTTATTGTTCCCTGTTTATTCTTATGTTTAATCTGCGGCTGTGTAAAAAAATCCTTTCACATTCAGGAGTAAATTTCTGCTCGTGTCCCGCCGATCCAAACATCTGGAGACTTCCTTCATTGTCTTTCAGGAAACGGGACGAGGGCGTCTTGTGGGAAGACGTGTCAAGGAGACAGGGACGATGAGTGGATGGGGGTCAGCCTGGCCCGCCAGGACCGAGCTAATGGGCAAATCCTGGTGAGTTCCCTCTGGAGTTTGCTTAATCGAGTATAAAATGGAGCGGATTTTTACCCACATCATTGTTACAAATGTCCTTTCATGAACCACACAGTTAAACCACAGCTGGTTCTGACATCCCTCCCCTTTGGTCTCCCTACAAGCCTCCACTAGTAGGAGGGGGGAAGTGGGTTTGTCCTTAATGATTCTTTTTTTTTTTTTTACATAAAGTGAAGCTGGAGTAACAACTGAAGTCAGACTCATTTACATATTTCTGTAAAACCTTTACATCGTGTGGAACTGGAGGAGAAAGTAAATCAGAGTTTGTGTGAAGTAAACAGTTTATTGTCTTGACAGAACTCATTTCCCCTTCAGCTTTCATGCTAGAGCTTTAGTCTAAGATCATCTCATGTTGAGAAAGTTGTCAAAGTTCGCATGATCTCGTGCAACCGCACGTCGTGCTCAGATTACATGCTGTGAATGACTCTCAGCTACTACCACAGCTAGCTCAAAATCTGTAAAAGTGACTGAATTATAACCATCTTTGTGTTTTCTGCACTCTGCGGCAGCCATTTTAATTTGGATTAGCTCCAAAACTTTTACACTTGATATTAGGGTTGAAACAATACATAAATCCTCATTTATATATTGATTAAATGATTGATGATTTAATTACATCAAGYCAAAATGAAAACATCGGTCCATATTGTCATCTTATTCCCAGTGTGGATCAACATCATAAACCCGCATTAGGAGTGTCCTGATCCGATATCACTYTCGGATATCGGTTCGATATTAACCAAAATAATAATAATTTTGTATTATATTAGCCTGCATCTAAAATCTCTGATACAAAACTGTCCATCCAGCAGTCTGCTCAGGATTTCTATCCAGCAGCGCTTGGATTTAGTGAGCTTGAAAAGTTGTTTTACACTTTTAAAATATATTTTGTTTTTATTGGATTGATTGAGGCAGTTTTTCAGTGTTTACTATTTCATTATTTATTTATTTGTTGTATTTAAGTGTACAGTATTCTTAGATTTAAGTAAAAAATGATGTAACCCATTGGTTAATAATAAATGGGACCAGTCTTTTTTATACCAACAGTTGTTTACTATTATTTACTGTTTGACTTGATCAAGACATGAAAGTTTCTACAATACAAAAATAAATAAATATATATYATTRCTTTTAATATCYGATCGATACRGATCAATACTCAAGGCTGCAAAYTRMGWATTGRATTGGAAGTGAAAGAACTGTAATGGTCACACATAACCTGCATCATATAAATCAGACTTGACAGAATTAAATTGAATCAAAATTGTTTTCATGAGAAGCAGCATCTRGTCYTCCAAACAAATCAATATAATATTGCATRGCAATGAAGCTTGTGATTTACACTCYTAGTACATTTACGCAATGATTACTTCCTGAAAGATTTGTTAAAATCTGTCACGTGGTTCATGAGATATTTTACTAACAGACCGAGTTGCGTCATAGTTTTTGTTGTTGTTGTGAATGACTCTCTGCTACTATCACACCAAATCTTAGCTCAGTATCTTTAAAAAGAACTAAGTTATAACTTATTTTATCTTTCCTAAGGTTGAGRAGCTGCGGCGGCCATCTTGAATCGGGCTAACTTTAAAAAGTGATTGAGTTTTAGACGTATATCCAGTGATTACTGTCAGAACATTTGATTAAAATCTGCTCAGTGCTTCATCACAAACACTCGCTCAGACACGGGGCGGGCGATGAAGTTGGGTTTTTAAAACGCAGCAGTGCTAATCTCAGAGAAGCGTGGTGAAGTGTTTGCACAGAGATCGTGTGGCTGCTGGCAGTTTGTTTAGGCTTCAGCCCCACAGCGGTGGTCCCATCTAACTTTTCATTAAATATTAACCCCCCTGGTCTCCTGTGGTGGGTGGAGAGCAGCCCGCTCAGTTGTTCAGGGCAGTTTGTTGACTTCTGTTGATGCCGAGCGACTTGACGGGTGAAAGTCTTCAAACATCTCCTGCTGATTGATTTTAAAATATCTAAAACAATTTTCCTCTCCAATTACYTCAAGGTTCCCTTCTTTTCCTTTTGCTCTATGTTTTATCCCAGAAGGCAAAATATGAGTGAATCAATGTTGCCAATATGGTTAGGCCGAAACGTTGAATCCATGTTGAAGCCTGACATCAGAATTATACAAAAAGTGGTCGGTGACTTGAGCGTTAAACCAACGTTAGGTTTTCCATCATAACTGATACCATATCAATGGTTGATTCAGCCATCATCTAAACATGGTTCTACACTCACATTTTTGTTTGTTTTCTATATTGAATCAATGTTAGGAATCAATGGTGATTCAACCATCATCTAAATCAGGGGTGTCAAACTCCAGTCCTCGAGGGCCGCTATCCTGCATGTTTTAGAGGTTTTCCAGCTCCAACACACCTGATTCAGTGATTGCTTTAACTCTTCAAATTGGGCAGAAGCCTGTTAATTACCCAGCGTTCAAAATCAGGTGTGTTGGAGCAAGAAAACCTCTAAAACATGCAGGATAGCGGCCCTCGAGGACTGGAGTTTGACGCCCCTGATCTAAATGGTAATCTACGGGTATATTTGTGTTGATTTTATATTAATGTACAGGAATCAATATTGATTCCTTGTCCATTTTACATTAAAATATTAAACTTTTCTAAAGCCACAATGGGTATCTAGTTATTTGGAAGATAGGAAACAGTTTYCACAAATAAGATCTAAACTTGGTATATCACATGTGGAGCCCCTCAAGGCTCTGTACTGGGGCCTAAGTTGTTTATTTTGTATGTGAACATACATTAAAATATTAAACTTTTCTAAAATCACACTGTAAACCTGAACACATTGCCAGAACAACAAAAAAGGATTTTACATTACCATATTTATAAAATTGTGTGAACACAAACGTAAATATGACAACATGGCATTAATATCCTATTTTATTTAGGAAATCAGTCAGAAGCAGTGGTTGCAAACAGGCCAGCAGCAAACTGAGTGATGAAATGCAGAAGGGGTTGTGTGGTTGGGACATTGCCTACCACTTGTAAATAGAGGTGTGTGTGTATATAAGTAAGAAAATGTAAAGAGAAAAATCGCAGCCTACTGTCTTCAACGTGAACGTGATAAACCCCTGCCCAGTGATAAAATACTCTCACCCAGAGCTCAAAGAGGAGGAGGGGTGCGACAAACCGCGTAAGTTTACTTAAAATCYATTAGATGTTGGCATTTCAACCAATAGAATTTGATCACAAAACAGCAATGATTCAATGACACCTTTTCAACATTGGTTYCTTGGCTAGAACTGGATGATTGTTTGATGGTTGATCCACCGTCAATCGTCCACCTTAACCAAAAAACAACCTTTTGGACCAAAATTCAACATTTAATTAACATCTTTTGCTATCTGGGATACCTTCGTGGACTGCACTGGCTTGATTGTCAAACCTTTTACTTGTCAGCCCGTCTGTCAAGACAAAAACACTGAGTGCTTCTTGGAGTTGTCACTTTGGTGCAGAGTTGTGTAACCAGAAGCCTCATGACCGTTCTGACAGGGTTTACCATCAAACAGAGGAAGTTGCTCTCCAAAGCCACGTGCTGCGGCGCCTCCCTGAAGCGCGGAAGTCTTTTCTTTTAATCTCATCTGAACAGACTCAGCAGAGGAAAACTGTTGCTTGGCAGATGTGGACGGTGGTGATTTCATCTGTGCTCTCAGTGAAAGCCTCGTTTMTGGCGACTGAACTAACAGAGCAGGAAATTGACGCTGAAAACACCCAGGGATTGTTTGTCGAGGCTTCTTCGGTTCCAACGGTTGTTTCTCAGCGCTGAAACAGAAATGTGCTGTAATGGTTACTGATGAAGCTAGGAGTTTTGGGTGGAYTTTTACAAGGTACTACGTGCATCTCCAAGTACTCTACGAGTCAAAGTCACTTACTGTTAACACCTTGTATGCGCTATGTCATCAGCCCCAAAACATACAGAAATAGGCTTATTTTACTTAAACGTAGCATCAGTGATGTGAAAACTTATCGTTTTGTTAGCATAGGTTCTGCTGTGGCTGGTCTTTCTAATGCACATGTCAAACTCAAGGCCAGCAGGCCAAAAGTGACCAAATAGATATGTTTATATTTAGCTCAGTTTCATATAAAAAAAAGATATTAAATCAATTGTAAATTTTAAATTCATGATTTAATGCAACACAATAAACTAAATTAAAAGTTGAAAGATAATACTTGTCTGGACTCTGAAGCTGTTGGCTCTGAGTAACTGTGGCCACCTCAGCAATTTAGTAGAATAGTCCCATTTTAATATTTCAAAATAAGCTGCACTGATCATAAACTACATTTCCCAAAATGCATGCTGATTATTTTGTCCGCAAAATGACGGAGATGCACGGGATTCAAAAGTAGCCAAATGGCGAATTTTGTCATGTYAAATCTACATTTAGCTGCATTTTTGCCAGCCACTTTTGCTGCAGCCCATTTGTACTGGGAAGTGGGAATTTTCCACTTACAAGTCGTAAATTTTAAGCTCGAACGTTCCTTCAGTGGGAATTCCCAGTCGGAAAGTGGGAAAGTTCCGAATTCAAGGCGGCAGCTTCTTATCACAACTCAACAGTGAGGAAAACTCACTTAATTTTACTTTTAATAGTATTTTTGTAGTACTTATTTTATATTTAGGCCATTGTACACATAGTACCTTTCAGTTTTTATAAGAAGATGTGTTAAAACGCTGTTTCTATTCAAGAAATACCAGGTAGATTTCAGTTATTTGTTAGCCATGCTAAGGAACATGAGGTTTCATGTTTAGTCGAAGTTAAACAAACAATATTAAAGTTATTTACAATTATAACTCTGTGAGAATAAGTCTGTGTTTTTACTCTCATTCTGCTGAACTCTCATATCCATGTAGGACGGCGGCGTTTTGTATTTTTGTCAGAAGAGGAGGATGTTGGGTTGTGTGTGTGTGTGTGTGTGTGTGTGTGTGTGGTGGGGGGATTTAAGTGGACTTCGTCTGCACAGAGGCATCCAGAGCGGTCCCCAGAGCCACAGAATCCTCACCACCAATCCCCTCGGGAGGCCCCCCCATTTATTACCACAATCACTTATTTCTGTTTGCACAACTTCAAAATCCCAACTTTTATTATCCTGTTTGGTTATCGATCTGTGGAGTGTTTCATTTTAGAAAAAATATTGTTTTAGAATGGTTCAATGTCAGTTCAAGAAACATAATCTCTGTTTTAGTGGGAGTTTGTATTTTTTGTTGTTTTAATCTGCTGTCGGTGCTGTTTGAACCAGTGGCTCCTCCAGTTTCCCATCTGAGGAGCTGTTTTGTAATTAAAATATACTAAATAAATAAATAAATAAATAAATAAATAAATAAATAAATAAATAAATAAAAATCAACAACTACACAACATAAATGTTATTGTGAAAATTCTGCAGAATCTCAGGCTCCATCAGAGATATTCACACCACAGACCATGACTGTTCCAGTATGGTCGGGGTGGGGGGAATGGAAGGCTTTTAATTCCCCCTGTCCCTCTGACGATCATCTGACAGCCACAGAGACGTTCTGACTCCAGCTCAGCGAGGAGGAAACAGCTGAGACCGTCAGCGTGGTCGGAGGAGTCCTGCCTACGGCCCGACGTGTTCATGTTTACTGAATGAGCTCGTGTCTGTTTGTGTTTCTCTTGCAGGCTTGTGCTCACCGCTGGAAAAATGTCTTCTACGACTTTGAACACATCCTTCCTCACGGATACTGCTCCATCATCCCCGCAACGCTTCAGGGCAGATCAAAACCTCTCATACCTTGTTATGAAGGTACAGTAGGAGCATCTGGTTCATTTGAAATATCTTCCATCCCACTCACAAACATCAAAAATGGAAAACTTTTGCTTTGACATTGAGCGACAGGAACAAGAAACTCTTTCGTGAATTGTTCCCTTCGTTCTTTCAAAAATAGCAACAAATTTGGTACAAAAACGTTGTCTGACTGCAAAATGTTGAATGACTTAGCTTAAATTTGTTAAATAAGCTAAAAACTGTAAAACTGGAACATACGTTCAAAATATCAAAGCAAAATCTAAAGTCTAAAATTAGAAAAAAACTGAAAACTAAACTAAAAAGCAATGCTAATAGCTAAAACAAGCAAAGCAGTCGCTGGAAAGCAACACTCATAAAACAGATGTAGTGGTTTTAATTTTTTAAAAGTTATGTAAATGGATTCCACTCAAGTGAACTGAGTAGTAGAACGCATTTACATTTACTTAAGTAAATATAACATTTAAATTTTATATAAAGTTTACATTTTACATTACTTTAAGTGTAACATTTACATTTTACATAAAGTTTACATTGTACATTACGTCAAGTAAATGTAACATTTACATTTTACAATAACTTAAGAAAATGTAACATTACCTTTTACTTGTAAACTTAAAATGTAAACTTGAAATAAATGTAAAATTTGGATTGTACAGTTTACATTTACTGAAGTAAATGTGAGCATTTATTTTAAATAAATTTAAAGTTTACATTTCACATAAGGTTACATTTAACATTTATATTGTAAAAGTAAAGTAACTGTAAAGTAAAAGCATTAATTCAGTTGAGTGGAACCAGTTGACATGTCCTGATGCATCTCAGTAATCCAGGTAAAAAAATCAAAAGGGAAAAAAATTGAATAGGTCCTCTGGACGGGTTCTTCTCTAATGAAACGTTTCGTCTCTCCTCCAAGAGACTTCTTCAGTCTGAGAGTTTCAGGCAAAATTCAGGCTTTTGAGTCCTGCCTCCAGGTGACTGATCCGCTATCGTTGACACCTAATTAATACCTATTGTTAACAGGGGGTGGAGTGATACTGCCAATGGCAGCACTGTAGGAGGGGGACAGCTGAAAACGGAGGCCTCCACCTCTGTTTAATGATGGACGGTCTTTCTTTACAAAAATGGCTTCTTTTACTCCTCTCTCAAACCAACGTTCCTCCCTATCAAGAATGCCTGAAACTCTCAGACTGAAGAAGTCTCTTGGAAGAGAGACGAAACGTTTCATTAAAGAAGAACCCGTCCAGAGGACCTATTCAATTTTTTTCCCTTTCAACCAGTTGACATGTTTTTTTATTAAATCATATCTGTTTTTTGAGTGTAAAATGATCAGAGAAGTGGCACTTTTCCACAAACATGAAACATTTCCACACTAAATCTTTTTTTCTTTGTTCTGTACATCTTATGTAACAAGTCGTTATTACCTAATGAAAACTATTAATCATAATAATTAAGCTGATGGGAATCAGCAGTAGCTCAGATTTATGCACTGAGCTGAACTTCTGAAACAAGAGTTAAAAGGACACTGCCCTTAAAACGAACAAAATTTATTACCAAAGGCGGAAATAAATATTTACATTATTTACAAACCACACGAGTTATGAAGAAATGATTGCAGATAGTTTATGGTGATTGAAACCGATGAGTCATGTGACTTCTGTCAGGCCTTAAATATGAGTTTATATTAGATTACTGCAGAGGAGGAAACATAAGCGATGAGTTATCTCATTTAAAAAGTTTACTTTAAAAATAAGAAAATGAAAGCAGACGTTAATCATAACTGTTAGTAAATAAATCTCAACATATTCTAGAAGTCTTGTGCTGTAAAAATTTTCAGTTCATTTCTCTGTTTTGATCAAAGGCAGCTGAGCATCTTAGCTGTGCTTCCAGGTCAGYACAGCACATCCTTCACCACCTTTTATTGCCAACAGTAGTTGAGAAGTCGGACACTTTTTTTATATGAGCGTATTTACAGCATATTTACAGCATTCTGCACCGATCCAAGCTCAATATTTTTCTAACCCAAGAGTTCTGCTTTGTTAAAAAGCCGTTGCACCCCTTCCCTTCAGTCCGCCTCCTGCCCCTGGATTCCTCTTGGATGGGACCGGGACTTTGACTAGCTCCGTATGGAATGCAGGAAAAACTCCAGTAGATGCTGGCTCGAGCACACAGTGAAATAATTTGTGGTTTGTTTTTTCTCTGCAGACCATAAGCAGAAGTACGGGGAAGAGCACGGCTCATGCCAAGCCGGGATAGCGGGAGTTTTCACGGAGGTCAGTAACCGCGCTTGTTCCTCTTTGTAACATCGAACTCCTTGTTTCCCCTTTGTCTTAGTTTAAGATGGTTTATCATTTCATCTCTGCTTTCTGCACATCTGGGACATTTTCTGCTCTTTGCTTTTGTTCAGGGAAGACTTGTGCTTTATTTTGTGAATGCTGATTTCTATTATTGTTTTCCAGAATTTTATTTTCATACATTTTTTAAACTAACTCTGTTATAGCTATTCATATATCTTTTGCTCATTCAAGCCATGGATGCAATGACTTTGGGTTTTTGTAACTCAGAACTGTATATTTCAAAATATTAAACATTTTATTACAAATAGTTTCCCAATAGAAAACAAAGATTTTTAGAAATCCTTCAAAATTTTACTTTAAAGAAACATCTGGCTCTGTTTTTGCTTTACCCTGATTTTAGCTTTTAGCTACATTTGTGCTACTTTTAGCTAGCCCTTTGCTACACTGTTGCAGCTAACATTTAGCTACTTTTAGCTTCTAGTTAGCCATTTGACGTTCTTAGGTTTTAGCAAGTGATTTGCTTTTTTTACTTTTAGCTTTTAATTAGCGTTTGATACTTTTAGAGAGCTTTTTGCTGCTTAATCTAGATTTTGACAACTTTTATCTGCTTATTTTCTCAATTAGAGTGCATACCAAACGTTGACTCTGATATAATCTCTAATTATCACATTAATTTTCACTGGTATGCAGTTAGTTGTCGAGCATTAGGGAAAAGTGTAAATGTGTCATGGATTTTTGTGGACAAAACAAACCAGGGAATCATGGTAAAAACTAAATTTTCTACAGAAGACGTGTCTGAAACAGTCCCTAATGTCAGGTTACTGGCAGGACACAGAGCTGGCCTCCCCCGTCAGTCTGGAAAGAAAATCCAGCTGACTCGCACACTAAAGAGTACAGAAAGTAAAAAAGAAAAAAAACAGAGGGAGAATGGAAACCTTCGAACGTTTTATTGCTAATCTGTCAACATGCCTTCTCTCAGGTGACAGGAGGTGGCTAAATATAAACTGTTAACTTTCAAAATAAAATCCCAGTTTGATACAAATGAAGTGTTTTGACTTATAGGATCAAATTATTTACCTGTTAAATCTGTCATGAACAACAAGTCAGGTTTTAAGAGTTTAAAATAGTATTTACTGTTAAGCTTCATGAGATTTTAATTGTTTTTCTTCATGTCTGCCGGCCTTCACTCTGGCATCCTGAGGATTGTCAGCAGAGGCGTTTTACACGACCAACTAAGCTGTATCTTTTCACAGTTGTTTAAGATGTCAAACGGTGTGGAAAATCCAAATTCTACACCAGTATTTTATATCAAAGGCCACCGGCGCTGCGCTGATTAGCTTCTGATAAGCGTTAGCTATCGTTTCCAGCTGCAGATAGGAAAGGCTGTGGCTGGTTCACGTGACCTCTGGTGTGCTTCCACGAGATAAAATGGTTAAAAGGCACAAGTTTTTCTTTTTTCTGAAGCTTTGCAGCGTTACAAACGACGTCATCCTCGGACACAGAGTGTTTTCTGTCTGTTTGCTGTCTTAAAACATGTTTTTGAGTTGATGATGCTGCTTTTGGAAAGTATGGAGAGGCATTTTGATTTCAATACATTGGCATTATAATAGCTTCCTGATGTTGGGCACGAGTGCCACAGTCTGAAAAGCATGTCTCAGATTACAGCGACGCTCACTTTAGACCTACAGTGATGTACGTTTCAAGTTATTTGTCTGTTGAAAGAAGAATAATTGGCTAATTTTTTGTTTATTTCATGTCTTCAACATTGTTGTTACCATATTATTTAGTGCAACTTTAATCAAGTTTTATTCTTGCTACAAACCGGCTAATTGGGCAGCATAAAACAAACACTGAGTGTAACTTTTTTTATATACAGCGGGTAAAATAAGTATTGAACACGTCACCATTTTTCTCAGGAAATATATTACTAGAGGTGCTAATGACATGAAATTTTCACCAGATGTCGGTAACAAGCTAAGTGATCCAAACATACAAAGAAATCAAACGATAAATGTCCTGAAATGAAGTTATTTGTAACAATGTGGAATGACACAGGGATAAAGTATTGAAC